ATATTAAAAAGAAATAGATTAAAATAAAATAAAATATTATTGTGTCAATATTTGTGTTTGATTGTAGAGAGTATTTTTGGCGATGTGGCCTATATTAAATGTTGTAAATGAGTATTGACTACTGCTGTAATTGAGAATAAGTCTGAAGGAAATAATATAAGGCCCCAGCTATTCCAGTCAAAGGTGTTTACCGATTACTTTATTATTTAACACACAGGTTTAGCATGCATGATAGTGATTATATTTCATATGATGATATCACCATAATATGGGATACATCAGTGGATTATTATAAGCATAGTTATAACTCATAAACATATTTACTTTCAATGTTAATACTTCATTGGGACTACACACATTTATATAATTAATTATACATTAATTATCCCAAGATCACGTTGCTCTGATTAAGGCTCAGATAGGATCGATTACCTGACCCCAGTTATATAATTTTCCCAATCCAAAATAATATAAATAGCAGCAGTAGTTCAGTGTAGGAACCTGGTCAAACTTTGATATAAAATCCTTTCTCAATAAACAAAACCTACACAAGTTCTCACAAATCTTTGTTCCTAATTTCAAATCTTCAATTCTTCCTCTTAAAAACTTCTTCAACTTCAACCACCACAACATTAAAGAAAGAAAAAGTCAGAATGATTGTATAGAATGATGGCATAAAGTATATTTACTAACTCTGGCTAATCTGGATGACTGTTGTGAAGATGGCGCATCAGAATGAGATGAAGAGTGAGTATCTATGACATTAAAATATATTGTTATTTTTTAGTTATACATAAAGAAGTATATATTTCTTTTAAAACAAAGAAAGTGCCTTACCATTAAACCTTGTGAGTGTAAAGAGTGAAGAGAGAGAAACAGAGAGAATACCTATGACAGACAAAAAATTAATTCTTTTGTTCTTTGTAAAGAAGTATTTTGAACCAAAAACAATCTTACCAGAAAAATTTGCAAATATAACAAGAATTGAAAAGAGAGAGAAAAGAGGGAAATAACAAAAAAATAAATAAAAAAAGTAAAAAAAAAAATTTAAAAAAAAAATATGTTTAAAACAAAAGAAAAAAGTGTGTTTAAAACAAAAGACTAAAATGATTTAATCAAGTCCCAAAGCAATCTGAAAACCGATTTACATCCCAGTCATTACAAGAAGTATTAATAGAGATTTGTATATCAAATATATTTTGAATATATATAATAATCATACCTTTCACATAATATACTTTCCCTTGCTCTTAATCTCTTGCTACTTACTACATTTATACTTCCAAATTAACACACTTGTTCTAACAATTAAAGTATGTAAACTTGATACGATTTATTTTTAATTTAATTTAAATAAATTTAATTGTAGAATGACAGCAATAATAATAATATAATCTGAAACTAATCATTATAATCTTTTATTTTATTATATTCTGTAGACAATGACTAATACAAGACATGAACGCGCAATTGCCCTTCGTCCTGTTGAGATTACCAATCAGCAGCTTTTGGAAATACTTTCTACTGTGAGAGTGGATATGTCTACTGTAAAAGGACAGATCAGCAATGTTGAGCAAACTCTGACCAACATGAATGGCAGAATTTGCGTTCTTGCCACCACCAGCACCAACACCATCAGTGCCATAGATAGTTTGGCCAGAGCTCCCCTTGCTGCACCTATTGTCATCTCCAACCATGAGCCTACCCGTGAAGAATCTAATGCAGTTTATGTGAGTAACATATTATAAAATATTTTATCAATTCATTTTCTCATGATTTATTTATCAGGCACATATTCACAACCTTATGTGAAAACCCAAGCTTAGCTTGAGAACGCCAGAAAATATCCTGGCCAACAACCTCAAGCCCAGATGGGATACAAATGTTGCATTCAACAAATCTCCCAACAGGGAGATAGCCAAGAGACTTCTTTCTAACCTTGAGCACATGTTTGGTTCCTCTAGTATGAGACAGAGTGACCTCCGAAAGAGGTTGCACACCAACTTCACTAGTAGAACCCGTCATGAGAGAATGTCTGATGATGAGATAGTGGAAACAAACGCTCTTACACAAAGAGCAGCCCGTGCAGATGATGTGAGTATTATGCTAATATATATAGTTTATAGTTGAAAATTAAAAATAAAAATAACAAATTAACAAAACTTATTACTAGAATGAGTGTTGCCGTGTACTGGCCTACAAAGACAATAAGGAGGCAATTGATCTTGTAATGCTCAGAGACTGTGCCAACACTCTCCAAAAAGCAGTAATGTCAGATGGAGAGTCTGCCGATGAAATGGACGAGGATGGCATAAAACATGTCATTCATATTGTACAACCAGGCTGGAGAAGCGATGAGGTAGATTAATTTGGAGTAATACGTTTGTATTGGTGTATTATTATATTGAGTGAATTATTAACGAATGTATTTCAGTGCAACCGTTTCATTGCACTTGTTGACACTTATGCTGTCCAGGCCATGGGGTCAAGTGCTAATCAAAGGATCCATAGGATCACTACTAGTGTGTCCAACTCAGCAGTCCCGGATAACATTAGCCCCAATTTTCCTCGGTGGGCTCTTAGAGATGGGCTCAAAATAAAAAAAATGTTTCTCTCTTTTTATCTACGATTACTTTTTACATACACAATACTATCAATATATATAGGGAATTTGTTCTGTTTTTTTTGTATAAGAAAAGGAAATTCAAGTGGGGGTTTTTTTTATTTTAAGCATAAAGCTTTTTTGGCAAAGCAATTACTAACATCTTACTAACATTTCTACTTGTAGTAATCCTGGCTGTAGCAATCTCTAAAAAGATGTGGTGCACAGGTACAATGCAATGGCAACTATTGGGGGAGAAGGTGGGGAGACAAAACTCAAGACTGTCATCCTCACGCGATCTATCAGAGGAAGTATTAAACCACTTGATATATGCGAATACATGTTGATGATCATGAACCATGCGAGTCAGGTGGAGATTGCTGTTAGAAGGGTGTGTAAAGGAGTGTGTGAAGAGATATTGTATTTGTCCAGCATAGGCTAGGGTATTTCTACCGTCACTACCAACAAACATTACATGGACAAGAGAACCACAACTAGCTGAACCGTTTTTACCACGGTACTGTTGACCAAGTAAGTCAATGAACTTCAACTTTATGATTTCATTGTCAACAAAGGAGTTGGTGAGCGTGGCATATTGGTAACTGACAAGGTCAGGAAGATCATAGGATGTTTTGTAGTGCTGAAGCAGATGGGCATAGTCGGTCTCATCCATCAGTGATGATTTTTTTAGCTGAAGAGGAAAAGTGGAAAGAGAGAGAGGTTCATTACCCTTTGGAGGAAGATGTGGGTTGGACAATGCTAGTAAGAATGATTGCAATCGGAATAAATGGGAGGAGAGGGTAATGACTGTGGTAGTAGGTGTGAATTTCAAAGAAAGCTTTGAGAGAATGTTGAAAAAGGGGACGTGGCTAGAACTTTTCAGAACAGCATTGGCATAGTCACCCTTGAATGCGTTTTGAACAAAACTTCTCATATATGTTGCCTCAAAACTATCTTTTCCATTTGTCTTGATATGCTTCAACAGGTCATTGTATCTCTCAAACCCAAAGAGCCAGTAACCGTACACGGTTCCAAAATTATGAATGGTATTGCGAAGATGGAGATGCAGGTGCATGTTGCAGGTGAGAATGGTGGGATTGTAGAGTTTGGTAGCCTTTTTGCAAAACATTTCCAGATAGTCATGGGCGCTGTTCACTTCATCAAATGTGATTCTTGGCTTGATAAGATAGCGGCATGCACAGACAAAATTCATCCAGTTGTACATTTCGAATGGTAGAACACCATGCAGGAGAACAGGAGAATACACCAGTATCCAGGATTTCCAGTCGTTGGCTTTCATGTAAGGAAAGCCTTTTCCAATCTTTGATGTCAGCTTTGTATAATCCCTCAGAAGGACCATTGTCTCTGCAATTTTTTCCATGACAGCAAACTCTTCGGCTCCAATCGTTTTCTTATCAACCCACCGGTCCATCATTCTCTTTGGCGTCCCCAGAAATAAATTATGCATGGGATCAATGATCGTTCCACGTACTAGATCAAAGTATCCAAGGTGTTGCAACTGCGACCATCGAACACCATATTCGACCTCCAGCTGGTGCCTCTCTGAGAGTGTACTCGCACTCTTCCACTCCTCAGCATGCAACCTGTTCTCTACACCGCTACGAATATTCCAAAGTGAATAATCGAATCCACTGAAGTCCACCTGATTTGTGTTGGGCAATCTGGGGAACTGGGTTGTACACTTGTAGCACACACATGTACTATTGTGGGCTGTAAATCCACTTGTTTTCCTGGCAGCAGGGATGTCACACGCAACCATCAGCAAGGCAGCATGGACATTAGCACCAGAAGGGCACTCATAGGTCGGGACTCACATTCCAACATACAACTGTTTCATCTCGTCTACCATGGGCTTGAGATAGTTATTTATCTCCTTGCATCTTGGCTCCTTGGGACCAGGCATCAAACCAACTAGAATTGTGTTCTCAGGCTTGAACCATACCTCTTGAGACAGATTATCTACAACCAAGTAGATTGCACCAGAAGAGTAACTAACTCCATTGAATGGCTGGAACCAGTCTATGTTGAGTGTCAACATCAATGAGTAAGGACAAGCAACAAACAAGACACCACTTGCATCCTTCAGCTCTTTCCACATTGCTCCATCGTATACGTCGCACATAGTATCGACAATCTTAAGCTCCATGTTCCAGTGACAGATTTGCTCTTCAAAACCAGAACAAAGGAAAAGAACAGACAAAGCTTGCTTGAGAGACTGGTACAAGTATGCTCGCTTTGATACCAATGCATCTGAAGTTGACTCTTTCATCAACTTACAACCACAAGAAGAGCGTGCACCAACATTTGTGAAAACACAATGGGGAGGTACAGACATGTTTTCTTCATAGATGCAATGGCAGTTTGGACATAACACAAATCACTTGATGCCTTTGGTGATAGACGAAAAGCCAGTCATTTTATGTAGCCCAGCCAGACTTTTGGGAAGTTGGAAATCTTGTCCATAAATTTTCAAGAGCTCGTTGATAAACTCAATCAAGACAACAGAACCCTTATTGACCACATAACAAGATGCAAAAAGTACTGTAAAAGTAGCAATAAATCTGTGCACTGGATTCTCGGGTATACCAGAAGCAGCAAAAGGGACTTTTTTTTTAAAAAAAAATTAACACACATTTTTTTTTTTAGTTTTTTTTTATGTATTTAAAACTGACCCTCATTGTTAAATTCTCCAACATAAATCTTGGCAGTGTCTTCTTCGCCATTGTCATCACTGTCATTGTCATCAGTTGTGTCAGACTCATCACCATTGTAGTCATTACCAACAAAGACGTCATTGTCAAACGTTGAGACGGTATCCAAAATAGGTGAGTTGGTCTGACCATCCATTGCTTCCACAGAATCAGATTGATACGTTGGGATTACTACAAATATGGAATATAATAGTTTATTATTAGTTTTTCTTCTGCTTTTCAAATAAAAAATGTCTTACTTTCAGTATCTACTTTCATGCTTCTCTTTTCAGCTATGTTTTTTAAAATAATAAAAAATAAAAATAAAAGCAATTATTACTCGGTAGACAGATAACTGCACTGAATAAATTATACAACTCTTGAATATCTCAGTACCTTCAAATCTAGCTCTTTTATTATGATGCTGAGCAGTACGTCTCGATACTTGGGAAACTCCTTGATCACTATTATTGCATCTGGTGCAGTGGCAATCAGTGTTGTGCATTTGAATAGAAGGAAACATAGTGTATGTATTTTGAATTATAAAATAAAAAAGGAAACAAGAGTGCTACAAATATTTCATTTGATACAGTTTTATAGTAAACCAAAACGTATTTTTTATTTTTTTATTTTATTTTTATTTAAGCCAACAGAATACATCAAAACTACACCCCCAACTTGATAAAAAAAAACTGCTGAGATGAAAAAAAATCCTGACATATCCACTATGATTCGACTACCTGGACAATATGTTAATAGTCCTTATTTTTCCAGTGTATATCTCTTTTATCTGATCTAATGCCATATACTCTGGAGCTAGTGGTCTGGCAAGTGGCCTTGCTAGTAGTAAAAGTGGGAGTGGTAGTGGCAGTAGTAGTAACAAGTCTGTTATTATTTATTATATTGTGTTAATAATAAAAAGAAAGAAAAGGAAATTTTATAATACAGGTATTTTACACTAATACATTTTTAATGGGTAAATATTAGAGATAGTTTAGCAAAAAAATATTCAAATCTCATTGGTTGCAAATTTAAAAAAACACACTTCTTAGCAAGCAAAATTTGAAAAATAAGAGACTCCTTTTTTCAAATTATTTGTGTCTTGTTACACTCAATTTTGGGTTCAAATTTGAAAAAATAAGCTCAATTCTCTTATAAGGAATCTTATTTGATTTTTTCAAAATGCATAAAAGTTACTAATAACCAATGAGGAAACCAAAGCTAACAAACAACCTTCCTAAAACCAAGGAGTCGATATTTTATGTTGCAAAATGATATAAACCACTAGAAAAGAAAACAAGAAAAAGATACTGAATTGGATCAAAAGCTGATATTTTATTGAATGGAATTGTTTCTCTTTTATTGATGAAGACATTTAAAGTTGATAATAGAAGCTCAAAAAAATAAAAATAGAAAAATAGAATAATGAGTAATCAATAAGGCAAGAATAAAATATATGAATAAAAGATATGATAAAAATATAATGATAAAAGTACTGATGCTGCACAGAGATGTCAGCAAGATGAATTGTGTAAATTATAAAAGAGGAATGTTACTAGCATGGGTGCCATGATTTCAAAGAAATATAATGTAGACAAATATGTTAACAAGAACAATAGAAAAAATACTATGTATAGAAAGAACAGGGAATGGAAGCAAGATCTTCCTGTGCTTAGAAAATCTTCTCTTACCACTAAGGGCACAGCACCACATCAACAAACTGTTGATGTCAGCCTCTCATAACCAGAACAACACGTCACAACAAACCACTAGACAAACCTACCAAGCAGACTGACCTTCTGGTACCAGACACCACAACATGGCCAAAAGCCGGGCCTGCCCACAACACACGTGACAAATCCTTCCCGTCTAGGCTGAGGCCATGGGAGTGGAAGTAACACGACTCAACTATGCCTGGAATTGTTGTTATGCTCTCTTGACTTGAACCTCTGGAATCATAGCTCAATGCTGAATGAACAGAACCAGAGAATCACCATTCACCGCGCCTTGTAGCCTCAAGTAGTTTGGACCCGCCAGCAAGTAAGTATCATTCTTGTTTACCTGCATTACTACCATAGGTCCCAACCAACGGTCTTGCAGCTTGGTCACTGGCTTGTTGTCCCTCATGAGCACCTGCTCACCAACCACGAACCTCTTGCACATGCCCACATGCATGTCGTACCTTTGTTTGTCTTGTAGTTGTCTGTCCTTGGTTTTCTGTCTTGCTGCCTCGCATAAACCATTGGTTAACTATTGGATGACCTTCTGTTATATTTTTAGAAAAAGAAAAAAAAACAAAGTGCAGACGAGAAGTATGGTGAGACTTTTTTTATTGATGAAAAAAGAGATCCCCTTCTATTGCTATTTGCTATGTGAGTTTATATAGACATTGCATGTGTATTTAGGATAATGATATGAGTATATCATGTGATGTCTGTTTTCTTATATCATAGATAATATATTGTTAAGTTATTACCCATGCTCTTGTTTGAGTGATTAGTGATGTTGACTAAGATATGTGACCTTGTTATCCATATATTCTTTATTTAACAATAGTGTGAGAAATAATGTATAATTGATACTGGTCGCTTATTCAATATGTCTTTGTCTTATTGTCTGTGCGCTCTATTTGAATCTACAATTATGTTGGATACAACACCTTCACTCTATCTGCAATCTCGTCCAGGGCTTCACCTTCTACAAAATCTGTTCTTCGAGCTGGCCAAATGGCAGAAGTGCGGATACTGTACCCAAGCAGAAGTGTAGAGGGACTATGACCAGTGGAATCATTCACCATGACTTGGAGAATTAGCAGTGCAGAGTTGACGAATTCGTCCCAACGATCTTGTGCATTGGTATCCCAAGTTATCTTGGCTAAGGTTTACACCAGAGTTTGATTCAGTCGTTCACATGTACCATTAGTTTGTGGTTGATACGCAGTAGTGGTGAGATGACGGCAACCAAGAGAAGACAAAAACTCGCGGACAAAACCAGAAGTGAAATTACTACCCCTATCAGTAAGGATGTATTTTGGAACCTCATAGTTGACGACTATTTGATTGTACATAAAAGTGGCGGTGGTCTCTGCAGTGATGTCTTGAACAGGTATGGCAATTGGCCACCTGGTAAGATAGTCAATGGCAACCAGAAGATAATGGAAACCATTTAAAGAAGTCTTGATGGGTCCCACAGCATCGCACCCTACCATGTAGAATGGGTGTACCAGTGTTGTGATGGGTCTTGCAGGTTCATACCTTCTTCTGATCTTTCTTACTTAGACTTGACATGTGATGCATTCTTGAACTACCTTGCAGTCTAACTCAAATAAACGTGGACTAGTGTACTGCAACTGGACTTGCCTCCACATATGATTGACGCCTTGGTGTCCCTCGCAATGAACCTTACTGACCACCTTCTCTGCAATACCCTCATGCAACAGTTCTTGACCATAGGGTACTTCAGAATCCCTGCGAAAGAGCTTGCCTTTAAAGGCTGTGTACTTCTTGGCCTGTCAACAAACCTTGCGCTTGATATCAGAAGTGGAGTCAGAGGGATATTGGCCATTGCGGGTAAGAAAATAAAATATTAATAAATAGAGTGGATAATCCATTTGAAAAGAAAAATAAAATAAAATAAAAGATTTTAAAGTCAATGCTATGAGAATTTGATTTTGAAAGATAATATATTTGGGTTACTAAGATACTTCAGAAGGGAGATTTAAGATATTTGGTGTAGAGAATACTAGTGAAGTAATAATCACGATCAGAGAATTTGGGTACAATATTCGCATGTTTCTTGTTTAATAAAAAATAAAAAGGGAATTTGTAAAATTAAAATTTAAACTAATACTAAAAAATACTGTTTGCTAATTAATTTAATTTAAAATAAAAAAGTACTAAGAGAAAAAGAAAAGGTTGACATAGTTTCTAATAAGAAATTTTATTAGTATATGGTGGGAAAGTAAAAATAAAAAGGGTTGCTGCAGAAGATAAAGAAAATAAAAGAAGTGTCAAAAAGAAAAAGAATCCAAAAGAAAAGTCAAGAAAATAACCGGCCAGTACATAATGTTGAGGACTTGTACTGATTTCACAGAGGGAGAAGACGAGAAAGAGCATCTGCCAGATTGTCACGGCCAGGTTGGTGTTAGATAACAAAGTCATACTCCATGAGAGCGGCAGCCCATCTTGACAATTTTGGAGAGGGATTTGGATTCTTGATAATATAAACAAGTGCGGCATGATCAGTGTGCAAAATAAACCAGCGTCCAGCAAGGTAATGGTGGTACCTTATGACGCCCCAAATGAGTGCTAAGGCTTCCAGATGGGTGGCAGCATAGTTCCTTTCTGGTCCCCTTAGTCTTCTTGACCCGTATGCAATAACGGTTTCCTCCTCCAGACAATCACCTGGAGCTTGTGATAAAACCGCACCCAGACCACAAGTTGATGTATCTGTTATCAAAATTTGAATTTGCTGACGGTCTGGAAAAGCCAAAATTGGTGGGTTCACCAATGCAGAACAAAGAGCTCGGAATGCCTTTTCCTGCTCTGGACCCCAGACGAAGGACACATCCTTCTTAAGCATCTTGACCAATGGTTGAGCCACCTTAGCATAGTTGAGAACAAACTGTTGATAGTAACCTGCCATACCTAAAAAGGTATGGACTTCTTTGACGTTGCAAGGGACAGTCAGAGTCAGAAGCTTGTCAACGTTGCGAGAACAAGGAGAGAGACCAGAACCAGAGACAACATGGTCGAGATACTCAACTGACGACTGGGCAAAGAAACACTTGCTACGCTTCAGCTTGATGTTTGACTTCTTGCATGCATTAAAAACCAGGGCCAGATGAGTCTCATGTTCCTTGAGTGTCTTGAAAAAAATAATAACATCATTAATAAAGACATAGGCGAACTTGCCCAAGAAGTTCCCCAAGATTTTAGACATTGTTCGTTGGAAGGTAGATGGAGCAGAAGTTAGACCGAAGGGCATAACAGTGAACTCAAAAGTTTCTTGCTGGGTCACAAAACCAGTGCACTTGATGGACTTCTCAGAAACAGAAACCTGCCAGTACCCACTTGCTGCGTCCAGAGTAGAGAAGAAAACCAAGCCACCCAGAGAGTCCAAAAGATTATTGATGTGTGGGAGAGGAAAAGCATCCTTGATAGTTACTTGATTTAGCTTGCTGTAGTCTACCACCAGACGCAAAGACTTGTCACGCTTCTGAACAAAAAAGACTGGGGATGTCCACAGACCACAAGAAGGATGAATAAGCGCTAAGGCCAAGAGGTTGTCTAACTCCCACTTGAGAGACTCATCCTCCTCCCAGGTCAATCGATATGGTCTTGAATGGATAGGCTCCAACGAGAACACTGGAATCTCATGGTCTAATAAATTGACCTGACCCAAACCCAAATTCTCGACAAATGCATCCTGGTTGGCCTCAATGATGCTTGCAATACTGGGGGGAAAACTCTCTTCCGCAACCTCGGAAACCAACAGAACTTCCTCAACATAGTTGAGCAGGCATTCCTCACCTCGGGTATCTTTAAATGTGGGCCCTTCCCCCACAACAGACTCCTTGCAGACATTAACAGTATAGACATAAGAGTGGAGAGGAACTGGTGTGAAATCTTTGGTCTGACCCTGAAGCTCAACCGTACCAGACCCGTGCTTGGTGGGGATGATGATGCTGGCATCACTCAAGCACAAGTGGATGCCGTACACCCGAAACCAGGTCATTCCCAACAGGCAGAGATCATGGTTGGTACCACCGTCCTTGATGCACATGGTGTCTGGCCTAAGCTTCCCAGCAACGCAAATAGGAACATTGACAGTAATGTCACAGGGAGCATGGGCTTGACCATCCAGATATGAGAGAGGAAGACGATCACCATTGGGCACCAGACCAAGATGAAGAGCTAAGGCCTTGCTAATGACCGAGATACTGGCACCAGAGTCGAAGATGGCAGGAATAACTTGTCCATTAATAGTAATTGGGGCTCTCAGAGGTTGGCTGGATGCAAAATCCTTGTAATTGTAGTTGTAGTTATAAACGGTGTCATCACTGTCATACCCATCGAGCTCACTGTCCAAGTCCAGATTGGCTGCATCCGACTCCACAGTGTCAGAGTCCCAATCGTCCGAGTAAAACAAATCGCTGTCCAACAAGTCCTCCTGATTGTAGACCATGTTCACCTCTGGAGCCACCACCTTCCTCTTCTGACCGGAGAGGAACTGCAGACCGTCCTTCACGTCTTTGGATGCAGACTTGTCAAGAAGGAGCCAGTCGGCCAGCAAGAGACCAGCGTCCCCATTCTTCAGTTTGTCTCAAACATTCTTGGAAGGAATGTTGACTGGGAGTACCCTTGGAGGTGAACAAAAACGACAAGGTTTGGAAACTGGTGGGGCAGATTGAGTAGCAGGAGAGTCTTGAACAGGAGCCATGTAAGTGTCAGAAGAGTCACTAGGAAAAGAATTTAATTGACCCTGAGAATAAAAATGTTGTTGAAGTGGAGGTAGAGTGTTTGGAAGCAGAGGTAATGGAGCAGACTTGTCTACAGCCTTTTCCTTGTTGCGTGTGTATGGACCTTTGGAAGAAGATGGATCGCCAACCCTGACACGTTTAGCAGCATAGATCGGAGCAGTCTCGACCATGTTGACAGCAGCATCCTCTGAAGAAACAGGCGCCTTTAATTGATTACGAGTGTCAGCAAAACTTATTGACACCCTTAACCTTTTCCCAAATCGTTGTCCTTGTTCAGATGCTTGGGACAGTCGGGCTTGATATGATTCTCTTCTCCACACCAGTAGCAACAATAGGTTTGAGGACCAGAAGGGCCAGCCAAACCAGATACAGTGTTGTGGTGGTTGAAGTTGAAGAAATTTTTAAGAGGAAGAATTGAAGATTTTAGATTAGAAACGAAGATTTGTGAGAACTTGTGTAGGTTTTGTTTATTGAGAAAGGATTTTGTATCAAAGTTTGACCAGGTTCCTACACTGAACTACTACTGCTATTTATATTATTTTGGATTGGGAAAATTATATGACTGGGGTCAGGTAATCAATCCTATCTGAGCCTTAATCAGAGCAACATGATCTTGGGATAATTAATGTATGATTAATTATATAAATGTGTGTAGTCCCAATGAAGTATTAACATTGAAAGTAAATGTGTTTATGAGTTATAATTATGCTTATAATAATCCACTGATGTATCCCATATTATGGTGATATCATCATATGAAATATAATCACTATCATGCATGCTAAACCTGTGTGTTAAATAATAAAGTAATTGGTAGACACCTTTGACTGGAATAGCTGAGGCCTTATATTATTTCCTTCAGACTTATTCTCAATTACAGCAGTAGTCAATACTCATTTACAGCACACAGGACCAGACCCACCAAAGTCAGACTTGCAAGGACCAGGACCCAAGAACCCACTCAGGCCAGAACCACCAGAGCCAAAACCACCCAAGCTAGAACCACCAGGACCACCAAGACCAGAACCACTAGAACCAGAACCACCAAGACCCGAACCCCCAGAACCAGAACCACCAGGACCACTAGGACCAGAACTGCCAAAACCAGCACCACTGAAGCCAGAACCAGGGCCACCAAAACCAGAGCCAGCAGAGAGACAGGTATCTACCAAGTGGATCTTCATGGTCTTGAACTCCTTGATGAGCTTGGAGAGAGCATCCTCAACAAAGGAGTTCTTGGATACAGAGTCTTGAGCAGAGAAGAAATCAAACTCGGAGACCAAGCAAGCAGCAGACTGACAATATTTTTCTTCACCCACCTCCGCCTTGGAAGCTTGACGGACCAACTCGTCCCAGGAACAGGGCAGACCAGTCTTCTCTACCTCGTAGGCAATCTTTGGGCGGAGAGCTTGCAGCAGAATGTGGATCCTCTGGGTCTCATTAGACAGGGCAACCAGACCAAAGAGCTCCTGGAGGCGGAGGGCCACCTCACCAACACCCTGACTGGGACCTTGGTGCATTTCTTTGATCTCTGTCCACCAGATGTCCTCCATCTGCCTAGAGGCAAATTATTTTTTGAATTCGGTAGAGAACATGTTCCAGGTAGCAACCTTGGTCTTGTGTATAGCCCACCACTTGGCCGCCATGCCACAGAAGTGGGTGGCAGCCACCAAGATGGCCTCCTCATTGATCATCCCAACACTTTTCTTCAGACGGTCCATGTGCAGGAGCCAGCAGAGTGATTTGCTATTTAGGTCACCAACAAAGATCTTGGGAGCCAAGAGATATTTAGATATATTTGCTGACTTGTGTTCCTGAGGAACAGGAGGAACTGAGAGTAAAGATATTTTTCACAGCATGGTGTTGAGTAAGTTGAATATTGAATAGATAGATAGAAGATTCCTTGGCACAACCTCCAATTTGACATGTGATATGTTAGGTTTGTTATAGATTGTAACGGATCACTTGGCAAATAAAATAAAATGATACTAGAATAGAACAGAAGACAGATACAGCAAAAGGTGGCAAGCAGCAATAGTTGACAGGTAAGAAAAGAGAGAGCAACCAATAGAATTGTTGTTAAAATTGAGAGAGAGAAAGATATATGAAAAGAGAATGACAAAACAGAAAAGTAATAACCGACAAGAAGACCAAAACCAAGGAACCGATATGTTATGTTGCAAGATGGTATAGATCACAAAGAGAAGAAAACAAGAAACAGATACTGAAACTGAATGAATGATTTATTGAGTTGAGTTTGCTTCTCTTTTTATAGTCGACAAGATTTTAAGTTGATAATAGAAGTTTGGAAAAATAAAGATA